TCTTTTTGCAGGTGACGCCTCCCGGGCTTCGCGAAGAGACAGCAGACAGCCAATACAGCCAAGCTGAACCGTTGGATGGCACAGAACGAGGCCGCTTCGAGAAGGCGCATTGCTTAAAACACGCTCGCAGATGTGTGTATGCGTGTGCATTTGTCAGCGACATGACTGTTTCTGTGTGGTCGACGACATGACGAAAGGGTTTCCAGGAGCTGGCGCAGTCGTTCTTGTCGATGAGGTGCATCAGGCGCCATCTTCGCAGAGCAGCTTGGGCTCTCCATCCGGGCCGGGACGGACCGGGAAGGTTCAATTCCACCAAAGGCGTGCCCCAGCAGCCGATGATGGGGGCCACGGAGGTGGGGTGAAGAGTGCCAAGAGGTGCGGGCCATACATCTCTCACAAGGCCGCTGAGCAAGCAGGGGAAATTCATTGCCGCCGCTGCCTTGGGAGGATGCCCGAGCCCCTGAACCGTTTTTCTGCCTAAAGGTCAGGATGCAGCTTTCTTGGAGAAGCTTGTGATGCTTTTCTGGGAAAGGCCTGCGTGGGGCTTGGTCACAGCTTCGCTCCTCATGTTTGCTCATTATTTGTAGCCTGAGGTTTGGCTAGAGTCCGGCCTGAAGCACGCACCCGTGTAGCTGCCCGAGTTACGTGAAACGTTGAGATTTCAGAGGTGTGGCGTGGCTTTCGTTTTGCATTCCTTAGGCTGACGAAGCTGATGGATGCAGACAGGCTCAGGAGGCACAGCAATGTGCACACTGACACTGAAAAAGATACCTTGAAGGACTTCTTTTGTGCGTTCTTTTGAAGGCTTTTGCCTTTCGTTGCGTACCAGTGGAAAGATGGGCCCTGGCAGCAAGCCTACGCACGACTAGGCGTGGAGACTGGGTGTGCGGCACGTGGCACTCTGCAGTGGCCAGGCTGGGATCCCCGAGAGGAGCCTGAGGACTCCCTAAAGCTCCAGGCTGGCGTCTTGGCGTCTGGAGTGTAGCAATTGACAAGCAGTTCTTCCGTAGACTCGGACGCTGGGGCGCAGATGGCGCAGATGGCGCAGGTCATCCTCTTCAAGGACACAAGCTTTCCAGGCAAAGGACGGGAGGTTCCGGAGGCTGGGTGGGATGTTGTATCATTTGCATCACACAAACAGAGCAGAAAGCATCAAGCAAAGAGGCATCGGACGACATTTTCTTCCAGAGTGCACCGACTCGCCGGGCCTCGCTCTACGTGCTGGATGTTATCGAGGACCGAGCCTGAATCTGTTCTTGGCAGGTCTGTCTTCATGAATTTGTAAGGCGCCTGTAGGGATGATCTCAATGGTGGCAGGATGGCTTCATTGAGTCGCTTGTTCAAGGCCTGCTGACAGACGCGGCGGGCAGGCCGGCAGGTCAGCAGGCTGCTGGGAGGGGTCCCTTCTCAGGTGCCGTCGTGAGTCCAGACCGACCTGAATGTGACCGCAAGACAGGATTCCTGGGGCAGGTGCGGGCCTGGCAGGCTTTGCACGGGAAGAGCAGCGCCAAGCATTTCCGAGGTCATCTACGATGCGATCCTTGACCGCTTGCAGGCGAGTGAAGGGTCGCTGCATGAGCAAATTCGACAGAGGTGTGGCATGACTCTAATGACACCAGGAACAAGGAACGCCAGGAATGACATGGAAAAGAATTTAACGCTTCGAGGAAAATGCATGCTAGACTGGCAGCCTTCTTCAGCTCAGGTGAAAGCCACAGAGCTGCGGAAGCGGAAGCGAGGAGGAGGAGCAGGTGCTTCAAGTGCAGGCATCCTCTGACACTCTAACCGACCTTGGGATTTTGAAGGAGCAAAGGACGCACCACGGAAAAGGGCTCGAGGAGGCTGAGCTGTGCGAGCGAAGATTCTGTGAATTCGCCTTGACTGGCGACCTGCCAGTAGGGCGGCTTGTATAGAGAGATTGCAACAAGCTTGGTTGCTTTATTTGCTTTGCCTTGGGGATGTCGTGAGGCATAATTCAGGCCCTGGCCCACCCTGTCAGGGCTGTTGGCATCCTAAACAGCACGCATGGATAAAGACCAGAAGATAAGCAGCTTGATGAAGCCTGCTTTTTTTGTCTCGTGTTCCTCAGGCTTGTCCACTTGATTCCGACTCAAGCAAATCAAATGTTGATGTTGACATGAGCGAGAATCATCATGTACGAAAGGTATGTAATTACATGGTATGTCATGGTTTGCCAGCAGACCGCCAGTAGTTTACACAGGCCAGAACAACAGCCTTCATGCAACGTCTGGAGTTTGCCCTACATGTTGACCGTGCATAAAAACAGCGTTCTTTCAAGCGCACTTCCCCAAGCACATCCTGGCTCGCTCTCCAATGAATGAGTCCACAAGCTATGAGCCCAGGTGACCCTAGAGCAAGCTGCGGTGCGGCAGAAGGACCTTAGACGCCTGCAGCACCCGGAAGCTAAGCTTGTACCATGCACGCTGCTTTCTTCGAGGAGCTGGATTTCTACACCAACAATTATTGGATATGGGGAGGTGCGGAGAATGCGTGGAATGGGATAGAACCATGACACTGCTGAAAAGGTACTACCGTCATCATGGCCGGCTTTGCCTTGGCCGAGTTGACCCGTGAAATTCCTCAAGGCTGGAGGTACTTGTAGTGCGCTGCCCCGCTCTTTATGCTTTCCGCAGAAAGCTATGTGGCTGAACCAGGCACACACCCGGCTCTTGAATGCGCCTATCTGGGCTTCACTGCCATTTGTCTGAGCTTCTTGGCCTGACGGTTTAATGGATTCACCCGGCTGCGGAGAGAGTCGACCTGTCGAGAGAGTCGACAGCAGGTTTAGACCTTTGCATCGTCACCTGGACAGTGCTCGTCTGCACCTGGGGTCCAGGCTGCTCGCTGTGGTTGGATGTGTGTCTTGCAGCCTTGCAGAGTCTTTGTCTGAAAGGAAACGCCCTGCGTGGACCTGATGGTATGAAGTCCTTTCACGAGACCATCGCGCTCCTTAAGGAGGAACAGATGCCCTCGCCTGAGAGCGAGGATCCACTCAAGGCATGGTGCTTAGAGCCCAGGCCCATTTACTACGCCTTTGTGGTCAGCATTGTGGCGTACTTCGGATCCTCATGTTGCCTCTTGTGGGTATACCCGTCGGACTTTGTACCGAATGCGGTCGGCACGTGCGTGCTGAGCTTGGAGCTAGTGCTGTCGCCTGGATCTCTTGTAGAAGTGTGTAGAAGTTAAGTGAAAGGTCTTAATCCTCTCCTTCTTGGTGCTGGTCTACATGCAATGCGTTTTAGAGCCTGCGCCTCGGCATGTCAGTCTTGTAAGCTCTTGCGAACACACATTCGAAGGATTCCTGTGCAGGCATCAAGTTGGTGTGTTGGGAAACTCGCATGATGACGACGGCCGCTTGGCGGCAATGCAAGGAGTAGCATATTTGTTGGTCCACGCTTAGCTGGTCTGCTGCAGGCCGTATAAAGACGTTCACTCCTTTGGATGACGTCGCTGACCTGGACATGTGCGATGCCAAGAGATTTGATGCTGGTGTTGTTTGGGTCAAGGGTCGTTGCGTGCAGCGGTGAAGCAGAAATATTGTAGGCGTTGTCATAGATTTCGGGATGTTCAATGCACCTGCAGACATGTTCGGTTGCTTGCAACAGGATTGGGATTGGCTGGGATACTTGGGAGTTGGAGGTGCTGCTCGCGCCTGCCAGTAAGCTTTGCAACCTCATCAAAGCAAGCGTCTCAAGTATTATCTAATCTCTGCTGTCATTTGAGTACGCTCACACTCGTTCCAATGGTTGGTGGGTGTCACTCTTGTCCTTGCTGCGGCCAGGATTTTTTTTGGCTGAGACAAGGCAACAGTAGGCATGGCCAGCAGGTGCCTCTCGGAGCCTTCTTGAGTATCTTCAGAGCACGCTGTCCGCTCCTCGGTTTCATGAGTGTCCATTGGAGGCGACTTGCTCCACCTTGCTTGCAGACGTTCTGTGAAGACGTAAGATCAATAAGCTAAGTGGCGCAGCGAGGTCCTAGGAGAACAACGAGGTCTGGAGGAACATAAGACGCACCATGTTAAATCTGCTAACTTGTGCACATCCCATAAGCCCGTGCTGTTGGGGAAGCAATAGGAAGCGTGTCTACGCAGCTATGCTAAGCCGACTTGGGCAAGGAAAGAGCGCAGAAAGCGACTGAGAAGACTCTGCCAGTACTTTGTGCCATGTATTGATATTGGCAAGCAGCTGAAGATAGTGAAGAGCCAGGAGCAACTTCGCAAGTAAGAGGTGGTAGAGTCTCGAGGCGAAGGAAGAGGCTGGTACAGGTCAATTAAAGAAGGTCACAGACAGGCTCAGCAAGGAAGCTTCACTCTTGTGGCAGAAGTGCTGGAGAGCACAGCTGAGGACTTTGTGCATGCTGCGATTTGCTTTGCCTTGCGCAAGAAAGAAGATGCTAGCAGATGGTCAACGCATCTAGATGGTTCTCTCCTTTCATTCAGCTACGGGTGTAGGTAAGGTCTCTCTTCTTTCAGCATTCAGCGCGAGAGAGCTGTTCTCCAAGGCCCGCCGCAGCGTCGCTGCAGCGTCGCCGCAGCGTTGCCGCCGGGGAGACGTCGTCTTTGCCACGGTAAGCGGGGAGAAGAATCTCTGCAGCGCTTCCCTGGAAGTGGAGCGTGCCTCGGCTGCCAAAGCCAAGCAGCTGAGACCAAAACGTGCCGTGCGAAAAACTTTTCATTTGCCAAACGCGCTCAATCTTGACAGCCCGAGTTGTTTAGGTTGTTTACTGGCCTTTGCAGCCAACAGGTTGGGCCAACATCCAGTTCCAAAGTCACATGTTCTGCAGCAGTTTGTGCGGATTTCCAATGCCTTGGATGGATCCAGAGCTTTGCACAATTTGCAGGACCTGGTGCAAACAAGCAAGCAAGTAAATGCTCGAGTCAGAATTTCAAGGAGTTTCACGTGGTGGTGAGGCCATAGTTACTGGGTGAAGGAAAGCAGTTTTTACAGGCTTTGCTTAGCACCGCGACTGGGTCTTCTTCGATGGCTCGTCGCGCGGAGCGCTTGATGCTTTCCACGCTTCTGGTGCCAAGGAGCATTGCGCAGATTCGCGTTGTGTGCAGGGAGAACAAGGTGGCCATCGACTGGATGAATCGTTTCTTGCCCATGCTACGATTTGGCAGCCCAGACCTGGGCTTCGAATTCCAGCGTTTGTCTCAACAGCTGCAGGCCAGTGCAGCGAACGACGCTGCGGACCCTGAAGAACCCGCATTGCAAAGCACGGAAGCAGAACTAGAAGCTCAAGAAGAGGCAGACGTTGAGAACAAGGATCCGCAGGAGTGTATTGAGATTCATTTTGCAGATGGCAGCTACCAAAGTCTCAACCTCCAGCTCTATGTCTCCTCGCACCAAGTCATGCAGCGAATATTGGACATTGATGCTGACAAGGCTGCGAGCAGCTGAAGCGATGCAGAAAAGACGCACTCAGCTTTGCAGAGGTGTTTGTTTTGAGATGCCGTTGCACAGACGAGCTCTGCTGAACATAGCTTACACATCAAGGAGATACTAGGCCAGGTTACTAGGCAGTACTATATGTCTCCATGTTACTCTTAGCCTCATGACCGCAATGTCTGCAAGTCTTTGTCAATAAGCCATGCCGCGGAACACTTTCTGCCAAAGCCTGTCGTCCGTGCGGAGCCATGTCAGATGACGAGTCTGCAGTTGAAAGCGAGGTGTTGGAGGGATTCATTCTGTTGTTCGCGCTGTGCCGTATATGGTAAGCAGGATGACCTCGAGGACCTCTTCCACAAGCGTAGATGTCAGCCCGGAGTATGCAAATCAACTCCAGCTGCGGCTTCTTTTTGAGATTCGAGGTACAGACATCCCCTGTTGTCTGGTTTTCGTGTTGGCCCTCGGCGCTTTGGTGGCAATGCTTGTCTATGGCGCAATCTACGGTGATGCGAAAAAGCTGAACCATGGGCTTGATGGCCAAGGGTCAGCAGCTTAAACAGATTTTCTGTCCGCCCTTAGCCGCCTCCAAAAGGGCATTCCTGAGGCGCCAGTGCGGTGTTCATAGCGACGTGGTTGAAAGGCCTGCGCGCTGCGCCAGCAGCTCTGACAGCTGAAGCACTCTTAAGCAAAAGAGTTACACTTTGCACATCTTGCACAAGCTTGTAGGCCGCTGCTTTACTTTTGTCCTGTGGTCCTCGCCTGAAACGCTTCGTCTGAACGGAAGCCAACATACCTCGTATCTGCTGTTGAAGGTCACATCATCCGGAGAAGCGCCCTCAGCTCGAGAGAGCAGCTCTTGACTGCAAACAAACCCTTTGCTATGTTCAGGAACATACAGTGAACTTGGATGATCCGGTCTGTGTGTCCGAGTGTCCGAGGCTGGGTCGTGCTCAGCTTAAAGCCTAAAGGATTGTACGTTTTACATGCAGTGTAGGGCCATACATATTATATGACATATATATATATACTATAAGCATACATACATATGCACTTGTTTTGTTGTTGTGGCCTTCTGCTTGGGGCTGGTGACTCTGATTTTTCTTGTTTCTGCCTCCCATTTTTGCAAGTAGTATTTCCAATGATACGATATTTCTGCTGTTTTTATTGCTTTTCTTACCCTCATATACCATCACTACTCTTGTTTGGCCATTGCTGTTATTGCCATCGTTACCGTTACTCTCGTGGTTGCCACTATCTTTGTAATCATCACCATAGTTCTCATGATTATCATGTTTCTGTCATGAGTACTACGCAGCAAAAAGTAGAACCCCGCAAAGACCCCCTTGAGGTCGAGCGGTGGTGCTTTAAGCTTCAGGCATTACCCCACACGCTGAGGGATACTGTTCGAGCATTTGCAGCCACAGGGGAATCAGCTGAAATTGCTTTTGCCCTTAGTCTTGCTGCCGGTGCGTGTGTCTTGTGTGAAACGCAATGCACTCGCATAGCACTTGACCTCAGGAGCTGTGTGCCGTGGCTTCCTTTGGGCTCAGGGGCCCCTTGTAGTCACTTTGCTACCGCTAGCTTTTCCAGCAAAATAGTTCGCGCTTCGCTTTGCTTTGCAGTCTTGTGACTGGACGGTGTTGTCAGCTGGCACCGGAGCCGATGTGTGCAGACACGGAGCAGACTACGTCCTTGCAGCTTCTTCGCCTCTACGCGCTGTCTGCTGGTGAGCAGGCCCGGAGGCGGCAGCTGAAGTCGGAGGAGGAGGATCCCGAGAACAAGCACTCTCAGGCGTCGGTCACTCGTAGGGTGCACAAGGCCAAGGCAGAGTGGTCTTTGAATCAAGCCTACAACGACTTGACGGGATCCATTTTGAGAAGTTTGGAGGGCGAGTACAAGCAGTTCTTCATTGACAAGCACTTCCGCGACTAAAAGTCTGTAGTGACAAGTGAAGAAGAATCCGTGTCACGATCCAGGTCAGGAAGTCGACAGAGCGTGGAAGAGCCTTCGGCTTCTACCGCCAGGCCTGCGAAGTCAAGGAGTACGACCTCGAAACCTTCGGCGACGGCCAGTTCTTCCAGACCTTCTGCCTGATTACCTGGGGCGACGTCAAGTCGATTCTCTACGTTTCCTTCGTGGACATCGCGCTCTTGCAATAAGACCTGAGGGATGGAGTCCGAGTCAGGCCCTTGGCTTCGAGACAGCGATCCCCCGCCAGGGTGGAATGGAGAGAAGCCAGAGACGACGTGGAAGATCTTTCTTCGAGACTTGGAGCTGTGGGAGGCAGTCACTGATCTCCCAAATACCAAGCGAGGCATCAAGTTGGTGCAGGCTCTGACGGGGCCAGCCAAGGAGGCTGTGAGGTCTCTGACGGTCAGCGACTTGGTGTCAGAGGATGGCTTGAAGAAGGTCGTGAAGTCCCTCAGCGACGCTTTCGCTCCTTATCAGGAGACTTCTTTGCCGAGAGCCATGGAGACCGCCATTTATGGCGGAACGAGGTCACACAAGGAGATTATCCCGGAGTACATCGTGAGGTTCCAGCAGGCTCAGTCGGTCTTGAAGGGCGAAGGTGTTGATCTTCCGAGCAAGGCCGTGGGTTACCTTTTGTATCGCCAGGCCAACCTTGATCGAGAGGCGGATTCCAAGTTCACTACTTGGATTCACGGCGACTACTCCTTGGACACATGTTAGCTAATCTTCGGAGGCTTGACCGAGTTTCCGTCGAGAGCAAGAAAGGCAACTTCTTTGAGGAGCACGACGCCGGCGACGCCATCGACGAGGAGTGGCAGGACGACGGCGATGAAGGCGACTACTTCCCAGTGTGGGACCCAGAGCACGACGGCGGCCAGGACGACGAAGAGGAGATCATCGATGAGGACGACTTGATCGACACCCTCGCGAGCTACCAGGACGTCCGCAATGCGTTTAGGCAGAACCACAATGCAAGAGGTTTCTATCCTCCTACGACTCCAGGCGGCAAAGGAAAGAAGGGCCAAAGCAAAGGCAGTTCTTTTGGACCATTTCCGCAAGGAAAGGGCAACAGGGAAAGGGAGCCGGGAAGCAGGAATCACGATACAAGAGTTGAAACTTCGCACAAGATGTCGATCCTGTGGCCGGATCGGGCATTGGAGTAAAGAATGCCGCCGGTGGTGTAACCTCCCCATAGTCTGCCTCGATTTCCTCCTTTACCTCCAGTACGGAGGATGGCAGATTCTTTGGGATTGGAATCTGTTCCTGCTTGACTGGCTGCTTTGAGCTGGTAGGCACCTCCTGCAAGGGAGGATGTGCCGAGCTCGAGGCTTCCTCCAGCTCTGGCTCCAAATCCTTATGCTGGCTCAGTGACTCAGTTTTACACCGAGGCGAGCTTCGAAGCAAAAGTCTCTTTTCTGACCGCAGGCCACAGTAGTACTGAAGCTTCGTTTGTGGGCGTGACAACTTCCAGTGCAGAAGCCATTGTAGACACTGCAGCGCAGGATGGTCTCATCGGGCGTCCCGCTCTTCTCCGTCTTTTTGAAGCTCTTAGGAAGTTTGGGCTAAAGGGGCCGTGGACAGGCGAGGCTTCCGAGGCTAGAGATTGGCGGTGTGGCAAAGATCATTGGAGTTGTGGAGGTTCCGGTTGGCGTCGGCCAGGTTCCGGGAGTCGTGGCGTTAACGGTGGTGGCCGAAGACGTTCCTTTTCTTCTTCCTGTTAATCTGTTGCGTGCCCTCAAAGCAAGCGTTGATCTCGGTGAAAATCGTCTACATCTTCGAGCCATTAAGACTGACTGCGTCATGAACGTTCTTCCGTCAGGTCATCCCACGGTCAGTGTTCTTGATTTTGGTTCCGGGTGGTTTCTTCCCGAGATCTGCAGAGGTCATGTTCCAGAGAGCGCATTTCGTTCTTCTCCCAAGCAAGTTCAATTCAGCACGGGCCCGTGTGACCACGTCCGCAGCTCGAGCACTCAAGCGAGGCTGGCCACTTTCGTTGGTGGTTCAGATGTTCGAGGACTGCAAGCTCAGCAAGAGCAGCCATGGTCGTGATTCGGCCAGGCCACAGCGCGCGCTCTTGGACAAGCTCTGGTGTGTGCTTCAGTGGGCGCGCTACCAGTCAGTGACAAGCCAGTGGCTTCAGCTCCCTACACCAGAACCTTCGAGATCGGCGACCTCTACGACGGCGAGTTCTTCGAGTTCAGGTGGCGGCAACGGACAAGGGCCAGGCGTACCGCAACTACCTGGACACCAAGAAGCCAAGCTCGATGACTCCTGTGAAAGGGGTTCCCGAGGTGGAGGCCAGCAAGTGCAACCATGCGGCCCGACACCTGAAGGGCGGAGGGAACGGCCGCAAGAATTGGTTCCACTGCGCCATGTGAGGACGGCGGCCATTATGACCGGGAGACCTTTGGAGGAGCAGCCGGCTTCTGCAAGCACGACTCAGACCAAGAAAGCTCCTCAACCGGGTCCCAGCCTCTCGCAGCGAGTCCTGGAGGAACAGCAGAAGGAGAAGGACCGGACGATCGAGTTGTCCAAGGAGACCTTCTTCAGCAACTTGCTGAGGCCGAGCGCGCGGAGGAGAACCTGACCTTGCTGCTGGGCCAGACGACCCAGAACTACCTGAGGGCAATGGTTCTGGAGTACCGGCGACTGAAGCAGTTCGAGGAGGAGACACGTCATCAGTCGCGCACGTTTGCAAGCAAGCAGAACCGGAGCGATTGGGAGAAAGCAGCCAACAACCTGAAGGCGGCAGCGGTCGAGCTGAACAATTACCAGGCCATGCTTGTCGCGCAGCGAAATCAGGTGTCAAGGAACCAAGCCGCGGCAGCGGCGAACCGGATGTGAACGACCCGCTTGATGGGAGGACCACCTCACGAGGCAGAGTGCTGAAGAGGGCGTCGAAGAAAGCTTTGGATCGCTGGATGCAAGGAGGTCATCCCTGTTCGGAAGACTTTGTGGTGGCGCAACACGGTGCGACCTCGCCAACGAGCCGACGGTTCCTGACAAAAGGTGTACATCGTCCTCAAGGAGCCGGATCTGTTCATTGGTGCCGAGTTCCCGGAGGACTACACCATGCGCGACTCTGAGGTTGCCTCCCGGGCCATCCACGCTTACATGATCGATCGCGACGCCCCTGTAGTGAAACTTCGAGTCAGGCTCAACGACCTCACCGAGTTCCAGGCCTGGAAAGCTGTCGAGACGAAGCGACCGGGCCACCTGATCATCATAGTGGGCAGGGTCCAGGACAACCTGGAGATGGCGTTCAGGATGGCGCGAGACCAACACCAAAAGGGCGGCAGCTATGTCATGTACGTCGATCCGCGTCGGAGAGGCTACGTCAAGGAGCGCCACGCCTGGAAGTACATCGTCGAGAAGCACGGGGCGAAGTACGAGTCGGTCAGTCAACGCTCTTTGAGGCGACGGTTTATCGGCGGCTGCAACGAGAGGCATGGTCAGTGCCTATCCGGTTGAGATTGAGTCTCCCGCGGCGAACGTGGCAAATCAGGACCAGCAAGACGAGGACGACGTGCAGGTGCAGGAGCCCACTGCTAGAGAGAAGGAGGCCATTGAGAAACTTCATCGAAATTTGGGGCGCCCAAGCAACTTTCTCGGGTGCTGTCTCTGTCGAGGGCCAAGCCCCGCATAATACGCTGGGCAGCTCGCAAACATCACTGCCCACACTGTGCGGCGCATGGCGCGCCAAAAACGGTGCGTCCCTCGATGATACCAAGGTCATATGCCCCGCGCTCCGTCATGGGAGTTGTGACCTGTTCCAGCTTCCGAACTTTGACGGCGCTCACCAGTTTTGGATGCTCAACATGGTGTGTCATGGCACGAGCTTTCAGTTGTGTGAGCGCGTCAAGTCGAAGGAGCCGGCGGAAGTTTGGGCTTCTCAAGGTCGGGCAGGCTGTTAGGTTGGCCCCAGATTCTCATTTCTGATCAGGGCACGGAGTTCCTCGGCGAGTTCAAGGCTAAGTGCTCCGACCTCGGCATCATTTTGCGCACGATAGGGGCAAGGGCGCCCCATCAGCAGGGCAGGACCGAGCGGCACGGCGCTCTTTTCAAAGCTGTGTTCCAAAAGGCAGTTTGGGGCTGCCCCCCTTCAGACCATTATGAGTGGCGTCTTCTTCTACGTGAAACTGAGGCGGCCAAGAACAAGTCTTTCAACAGGTCTGGATTTTCCCCGACGCAGCGAATGATGGGCCACTCTCCGAGGTCTAACGGCGAGATCATGTCGGACGACGTCATCGACCCGGCTTTCCTTGGGCAAGGCCAGGAGATGGAGCGACTTCTTTCGGCGCGAAGGGCAGCACAGAAGGCCTTTGTCGAGATCAACACCTCTGAGGCGCTGAAGAGAGCCCTGAGGAGCCGATCAAGGGTTCAAAGTTAAGTTTTCTCCCGGAGAGGTGGTGGTCGTCTGTGGGTAGGTCCAGCGGTTGGCTTGATGCCGGAGAGTGCCAACGCCTACGTCAACATGCAAGGGCGTTTGTGGAAGGTGTGTAACGAGCATCTTCGAGCGGGCACCTCAGACGAGATCCGAGGCGTTGAGGCAGTTCACGAAGTGTTCGAGGACATCAAAAGGAGCTTCGATCGGGCGGGGTCCAGAATCATAGAGGACCACACTCGACCAGAGCGAGCAGCTTCGGATTTCGGATGATCCTCATTCCTCCAGTGGTCGTGGATTTGGAGCCGGCACCTCAGCACCTCAGGTCCCTGACACTCCCGTTCCAGATCAAGCACCAGCACCACTTGAGACTGGAGGCGGATCAAGCTCAACCACAACGGCAGAGGACGGCAAGCGCGGCAGAGCCCGAGGTTCGAGGAGGCGCCTCGGCTTCCAGACTTGATGCCACCTGGGCAGCAGCAGACAGCGGGCCAAGCTCAGGAGGCACGACTAATGCCAATACGAACCTGGATGGACTTCCTTTGGCCAGATCTAGAGGCAGTTCGAGCTCGGCGTTTGGACCACAGGGTCCACGGATCGAGGACAACACGGTGAATCCGTACAGAAGGGCTCCCCTTGGCGACAATGGCGTCAACCCGTACCTGACGGAGAACGAGTTCTTCAAGGGCGAGCTCGAAATCCCACTTCCAGCTCCACAGCTTCGTGACCGAGAGTCGGCAAGGCAGAGGGACCATTCGGAAGTCATCAGCAGCAAGGGCGTTCTTCGGAGGCGCCACGTGAAGTGGCGTCTTCGCACCTTGTCGCCCTGGAGACACCTAAGGTTCCAGTGGAGCTGATCGAAGTCCATGTCGTCGATGAGGAATACAAGGACGGCGACCATGACATCATCAAGGACGACTGGAGAAGCCTGAAGCCAAAGACCAAGCAGCGGTCTAAGTGGAAGGGGTACTCAGTGCTCGAAGAGGTGGCCAACAGCGACCTGGGCGGCCACGACGGCTACCACAAGGGCGAGCGCTACAGCTTCCTCGCCATCAAGCCGGAGGCGTTTGCAGGGAAGAAAATGGGCTCAGACGAAGTCGCAGCCCGAGACATTCTTCCTCAACGAATGGGACGAGTGGCGCCAAGCCGACGGTGAGGAATGGGCCAAAATCGCGTCCTGCGGCGCGTGTCTTGTCTTTGTCCGAGTCAAAGGCTGTGAGAGCAAGCCTGGTGGCTGAGGGCAAGGAAGACCGCGTTGTGAAAAGTCGTGTGGTCCGGAGGCTAAAACCGGGCGAGCAGCCAGGCGAAGCGCCCACCAAACGCTCGCGTTGGTGCGTGCGTGGAGATCTTGATCCAGACGCAATGCACCTCGACTCCTACTCACCCACAGTTTCCACACAAAACATTCAGGTCATTCTCCAATTGGCCGCGTCGCTCCAGATGATCGGCGCCTGCGGGGATCTCAAAGCAGCATTTATGCAATCGGACCCGCTTCGCCGAGAGAGAGGTGAGCTTTTCGTGATGCCACCTCCTGAGGGCTTGCCAGGCCTTGAAGAGGGGCAGCTGGTCCAGATAGTGAGTGGAGTGTATGGGTTGATAGATGCGCCGTTGCATTGGCGCCGCACCCTCACTACTTTCATTCGCGGCTACAAGCAAAGCAGGTTGGACCCAACCATCTACTACTTGCACCTCGACCAGAAGTTGGGAAGGTATCATCATCATTGAGATTGACGATCTTCTTTGCTTCGGCTATGACGGGCGCAACGAGCGCCTCAACAAGCTTCGCGAGAGGTTCAAGTTTGGCAAGTTCAAGAAGTTGCAGGACCTCTCGGAGGGCACCTCCTTTAACGGAAGAAGGATCCAGCAGGACAAGGACTTCAACATCAGAGTTGACATGGCAAAGTTCGTGCAAGAAAGGTTGTTGGAAGTCCAGCTGGAGAAGGGCCGAAAGTCCAACTTGGACGCTGAAGCGCTGCCTGAAGAAGTTAAGAAGGTCAGGGCGGCTATAGGATCGCTGGCGTGGTGTGCCAAAGAAGGCACACCTGATGCCTCGGCCGGAGCCAGCATCTTGGCGTCAAAGATGACCAAGCTGAAGATCCGGGGCATCATCGCTTTGAACCACGTTATTTCCCAAGTCAAAGCCAAGCCTGACCTCACGCTTCTATATCACTCCATCCCGTACGAGGACCTCAGGTTCGGCGTTGCCACAGACGCCTCGTGGGACAACTACAGTGATGGTAGTTCACAAGGAGCAGTCGGCGTCCTAGCCTACCACAAGAGCTTGCTCGAGGGCGAGAAGGTGGAAAAGTGGAAAGTTGAGGAGGAAGGTGCCTTCAACGTTGGCAGCCGAGACTCAATCTTTGAACCGAGGGCTCGGAGAATTGATGTGGACTAAAGCAGTGGTCCAGCGCCTGATGGATCCGAAGTTCGAGCTCCAGGAGTACTACCACCGCGTGAGGCAGCAAGCTGATCTGGTGCTTCAGAGTTCGATGGTGACAAGACTTTGAGAGAGTCGCTGGGCATCACGAATGCCAAGAGTGTCTACGACAACGTGACCAAGGAGGGAGCGATCGCCCAGGACAAGTACACGGCCTTGGAAGTTGCGATTGTGCGAGAAAGGGTGGACGGTCTAGGAGTTCAGATATGGTGGGTTGAACATCAATCCATGATTGTGGATGCTCTCACTAAGGTGAATGGCAATCCTAGTGCCCTGTATAAGCTTCTTGATTCAGGACATTATAAAATAGTGGCTGAGTCAGACCTTTTGGATGAGAGGGCAGTTTTGAGAGCTGAAGGCCGTCCCAAGCGCCGCTGAGCCAGTTTTTCGAAGCCTACTCTCTGAGGTCAACAGAATTTTAAGGGTGCTGTGAAACGCGCTCGCATAGCGCTTGACCTCAGGAGCTGTGTGCCGTGGCTTCCTTTGGGCTCAGGGGCCCTTGTAGTCACTTTGCTACCGTTAGCTTTTCCAGCAAAATAGTTCGCGCTTCGCTTTGCTTTGCAGTCTTGTGACTGGACGGTGTTGTC